GGGGGGGGGGGGGGGGGGGTGACCGGTGCCGCTGTGGGGTTCGGCGGGGAAAACGGCCCTGTCTTTCCCTCCTCCCGGGGCCACAAGCCCCTCGCCGAGGCGGTGTCCGCCCTCAGGCGCAGCCGGGGCCCGGCCCTGCCTCAGGCTGCCCCTCCCCGGGAGCGGTACTTACCGGTGACACAGATGGACTCCAGCATGGTGCTCCGCCGGGCAGCCCCGCTGGCTTTTTTCCCCCCGCCCTGCGCGGCGGGCTCCCGCCTCCTGGGCGGGCAGCCCTGAGGGGAAGGCGGGGAGGGAGGAAGAGACCGCCACCGGGCGCGGCGCGGGCTGTGCCGGCCCCGACGCCTCAGCGAAGCCGGCCCGGCCCCGCCGCGGCCGAGGGAGCTCGACTGGCAGGAGCTGAGCGCCCCAGCCGGGCCCTACAAGACTACAAGTCCCGGCATGCCCTGCAGTGTCCGAGCGCTGGCCCGGCCAGCGGGGGGGCGAAGTGCATTCTGGGAGTTGTAGTTCAAGGGGCGGGGCGGCCCTCCCAGTGTCCTGAGGTGCCGCACCCTGAGGCGCTCAAAATCTTTGTCACACCGGCAGGGCTGGGCGTGAGGAGCCGCCAGCATCGGCGGGTTTTCAGAGTCTCGCCGGGGTACCTTGCACTGAATCCAGCAACTGCGTTGCAGTAGGTGTATAATTATCGACTATCATCATTGCTGTGATTGATTGATAGTAATTGGTATGATTGGTAATTACCAGCGGGGCCTGAGGCAGGGAAAGGCCTGCGTGGGACAGGGTATGTGCCACCCTGGGAGAGCACAACAAGGAGCCGTCGCCTCTTGGCTGAAGTGGAATAGCACCAGAGCAACAGTTTGGGGCAATAGCTAGTTTAATCATCAAGGATTTTGCTTGATGGGCATTACATACAATTTAAAGGGGAAGGTAGACTTTCTATTGCATTCTTCAGTTGCTTTCCTTGTTGTGCAATCTGTTGCTTTGCTTATGAAACCCTTCACTCCTTGAAACGTAATCTGCACCATTTGAAATGCCCATTGAACATCAAACAGGAACTAGTTCCAATTACAGTTGTGTAACCAATTAATGCAGGTATGGTGTAGGAAGATTTTTCTACTCTTCATGCACACTTAAGGTCCTTACTGAAGTCAGATTACACAAGAATACATTTTAGTGTGTTACTGCATTTACTTTTCTAAGTGGTCAATGCTTAATAGAGAAAGTAATTTAATTGAAAGTGACTTAACAACACAATAGTGCTCAACATAAATTAAGGAGGGTGTAGCCAGGAGGGATCAGTCTCTTCTCCCAAGTCCCAGCTGAAGAGGAAATGGCCTCAAGTTGCACCAGGGGATGTTTAGATTGGATATTAGGAAAAAATTCTTCACTGAAAGGGTTGTTAAGCATTGGAACAGGCTGCCCGGGGAAGCAGTTGAGGCACCATCCCTGGAGGTATTTCAGAGACCCCTAGACATGGTGCTGAGGGACATGGTTGAGTGGTAACTTGGCAGTGCTGGGTTAAATGGTTGGGCTCGATGATCTTAAAGGTCTCTTCGAACCAAACAGATTCTGTAGTGATGTGCCAGGGAGAGGAGAGCTGGGAAGTTGTGCGCTGCTTTCGTTGAATACCTGAAATGTCTGCCACCTTCCCTCCCATCAGTAAATTCATACCTGCAATGCTCTGGACACACTGATTCTCTCCATAACTTTGTCCTCTAAGGTGTGAGATCTGGCTGTGTCATCACAAAGCAGGGATGGGAAGTCCACAGATCACAGCTCATTGATGATTCTTGGGAACTCCTTTCTGTGTCCTACCTGCAAAAGTTTTACTGAATTTCATGAATCCTTCTTATAGACACTTGTGTGTCTGCAGTCATATGACTGAGCGGACCCTGATGACGTAGTTCTCTCTTCACAGGCAATAATTATTAAAAGAGTTCAAAGCACATATTTTTCATTTTATTTCCTAACATCTCACACACAGGCAGACAGGCACTTTTAAGACCAGCTATGAAAAGACTGAGGTGTCATTTTTCTCAGCCTGCTAATGAAGAGCTAGCGCGGAAGCACACTTCTACCTAGCTGGCAAATTTGATGTCCCTTTTAACTCGAATTCTTTGAGGAACAGAGAAGATATATGCTCTGTCAACACGTCTAAGTTTAACCTAAAATACCCTCTAAAGTACTTCTGCTAACACTGTTGTATCTAGAACCCGCAGGCTTGTCTCCAAATCTCAAATAGCAGGAACTGAATAAACACTTTTAAATTTAGAGAGACAAAGCTCTGACTAATGGGTTAGAGTTTGCTTCTGATGCAGGGTAATTACAGAAAAAAATCCCCAAACAGGGAATCGGTTCAAGCACAGCAAATGAAGAAATGATACAAAGTCATGTCAGTGCACCATTTTACCATAACTCCCTGATGCTTTTACTGTGTAGACGCTAAATTCTCCTCTTAGAGATGATACTTTATGCTTGGAAGGGATAGCAATGAAATCAGTAACTCCAGCTTTTGAGGTGCATTTTATACATTTATTCTCTCCCCTTGCTCCCTCCGGTGGATTCCTTCTTTCCATGTTTCTCTTCTCCTGCTCTTCTCACCTCTTCTCCCCGGTGTCTGTGAGTCCTTTTTCACCGCGTGCTTGGTGTTCAGTCACCCCTGAACCTGCTGCCTCTGCCTTGCTCTGCCTTTCCCCGCCAGCCTCTTCCCTTTGCAGGGTGGCGTGGAGGTTGTGTTGGGTCATGCTAGCTCCTGGCTCTAGCAGGAGGACGCCAAACGCAGTAGCAGAAGGCAGAGAGGTGGGATGCTAAAAGGCCACCTGCCTGTTTTCTGCTTTGGCTCCGAGCAAGAATTGCCCTGTTTGTCGATTAAAAGCATAACGTGGAAAGCTCAGTCGAGGAAAGCACTACTAAGTGTATCAATGCTTATATATAAAACACTATATATATATTTCATGTAACTCTAACAGTTCTGACCTCCAAGGTGTCTTAGCTTGCAAGTCTGCCTGGATGGACAGTGGGGAAAAAGACGAGCTGCTCTGTCCTGAAAAAATTCCTGGCAGCTGTCAGTGCAGCTGGCACGGATTGTGCTGTAGGGAGGTGAGGGGACATGGGGACAAACGGTAAGGCTTACAGGAGGCACGCTGTGGAATACAGCCTAAATAACACAGTTCCACAATACAAACAGATCCATAGCTTGGTATCGTTTACCCGCTGTTAGGAAACAGAATTCAAGCTGACACGCGTCTGGTATTCCAGCTGCAACATGACATAACTTCCAGAGATAATCTCAGATTTACTTCGGAGCTAATTTCATGTTTACAATTAAAATAATGACAATTTCATTTGTCAAAAATATGGCATTGTTTTGCATGCAGAAGAGTATATTTATAGGAATGTTAGCATCAATAACCTCTGCAGCATGTACTCTCTGGAGCAGTGATAGGTTTTATTGATCTCTACATCTACCACAAGCTAACGCTGCAGAATTCCAACACACACATGTGTGTATGTGCATTTGGATTTTAAATATGCATATACATATGTATACACACATTTGTTTTACTGTCAATTTTATCTGGTTCCTCCCCCATATGCACGCCAGCGTCTTTCTTCCATTTCTCTGTGCTGCCAAGAAAGAATCCCTGAGGAAGTAAGAAAGTCGGGAACAAGAGTCCTTAACTAACTCCGCATAATTTGGCACAGCTTCGGGGCCACCAGAGCGGCAACGTTAGCCTCCTCTCCCTGACGTAATTTCACTGAATTTCACTGAATTTTTTAGAGTTGGAAGGGACCATAGAGATCATCTAGTCCAACTCCCCTGCTGAAGCAGGATTGCCTAGAGCTAGAGCATGTTACTCAGGAGCATCCAGGCGGGTCTTGAAAATCTCCAAGGAAGGGGACTCCACACCCTCCCTGGGCAGCCTGTTCCAGGGTTCTGTCACCCTCACTGTGAAGAAGTTTCTCCTCATATTTGAGTGGAACCTCTTCTGTTCCAACTTGTGCCCGTTGCCCCTCGTCCTCTCAGTGGGAACCACTGAAAAGAGTCTGGCTCCCTCCTCCTTCAACCCTCCCTTGAGATACTTGTAGGCGTTGATAAGGTCTCCCCTCAGCCTTCTCTTCTCCAGACTAAAGAGTCCCAGCTCTCTCAGTCTCTCCTCATCAGGGAGATGCTCCAATCCTTGAATCATCTTTGTTGCCCTTCGCTGGACTCTTTCTAGTAGTTCCCTGTCCCTCTTGAACTGGGGAGCCCAGAACTGGACGCAGTACGCCAGTTGTGGCCTCCCCAGTGCAGCGAAGAGAGGGAGAATGACTTCCCTTGACCTGCTGGCTACACTCTTCCCTATGCAGCCCAAGATACCATTGGCCTTCCTGGCCACAAGAGCACACTGTTTACTCATTGTCATTTTACTGTCCACCAGGACCCCTAGATCTTTCTCTTCAGTAGTTGCCTCTAGCAATGACTCTTAGCTGGCTGAATATCTTCTGACCAAACAATTTTATTGACCGAGGGACACCCAAGTGACCATCCTTCCAGACGTTTTCATTCTGGAAGCTCCTTCTGAAATGTCTAACATTGCTGTCTGATGCCAGCTGGGTCCTACGTTTCTAGTACGCGGCAAAGGCAGCACACGCCTGTGGGAGCTGCTTACTCATACAGTCTTATTCAGTGGGACTGCTATTTTAAGATGCCTTGAAGAGCACAACATGATACAGCTCCACTATTTGGATTGATTTATCCATTGAAATTTTTCCCACTTTATGCTAAAGAGGCTCCATACCGTAAACCCAGCCCAACAAGGGCAAACAAAATGCAGGCAAACTTGTGATAAAGTTCAGAGAAGCGAAAGTAATGTAAGATCCTCCTGATGTGAACATAAAAAAGTTGCTGACTGTTGTCCTGTTATCATACGGGGAAAAAACAACCAGAGATGGCTATTGCACACTCACAAATGCATTTATACACAGAATGATGATAATAAAATGATATAGGCTTGGAAGGGACCTCTGGAGATCATCTCCTCCAACCCCCTGCCAGAGCAGGTCCACCCAGAGCAGGTTGCACAGGAACGTGTCCAGGTGGGGTTTGAATGTCTCCAGAGAAGGAGACTCCACCACCTCTCTGGGCAGCCTCTGCCAGGGCTCTGCCACCCTCACAGGGAAGAAGTTCCTCCTCATGTTTAGGTGGAACTTCTTATGGTCATGTTTGTGCCCGTTCCCTCTTGTCCTGTCCCTGGGCACCACTGAAAAAAGACTGGCCCCATCCTCCTGACACCCACCCTTGAAGTATTTATAGGTGTTGATCAGATCCCCCCTCAGCCTTCTCTTCTCCAGACTAAAAAGACCCAAGTCCCTCAGCCTTTCCTCGTAAGGGAGATGCTCCAGGCTC